CTGCAAGGGAGGGGCGTGGTGGAGATTAATATGAGCTCCGGCGTCTGCTTGAAAACAGTGAGTAATGGGGATTTATGGCAGCGAAGAGGGAGGGAGAGAGAGAGGGAGAAGGAAGAGAGGGAGGACGGAAGGAAGCAATGGAGGGAGGGAAAGAAAGGGAGGAAGTAAATGAGGGCGACAAATATATATATATATATATATATATATATATATATATATATATATATATATATATATATATATATATATGTATATATACAGAGAGAGAGAGAGAGAGAGAGAGAGAGAGAGAGAGAGAGAGAGAGAGAGAGAGAGAGAGAGAGAGAGAGAGAGAGAGAGAGAGAGAGAGAAAGAGAGAGAGAGAGAGAGACAGAGAGAGAGAGAGAGAGAGAGAGAGAGAGAGAGAGAGAGAGAGAGAGAGAGAGGCAGACAGACAGACAGAGATAAAGAAAGACAAAGAGCACTCAAGATCAAATTAACTGCACGGAATATTCTTCACATTTAGCGAGAGGACTTTTAATTGGATTACGCTCTGTACTTTATAAATGAGATAGATGCATATAGGTAGGTACATGGATCGATCGATAGATATAGAGGCAGACAGATAGGCAGATCACACACACACACACACACACACACACACACACACACACACACACACACATATATATATATATATATATATATATATATATATATATATATATATATATATATATATATATATATGTGTGTGTGTGTGTGTGTATATATATGTATATATAGACACATATAATCATCCTTAAAATGAACACTCTCGAAACCCCAAAGCCTCACGGAAATAGACGCCGGCGTTGCCTAAAAGGGTGTGTGTGTGTGGGGGGGGGGGGGGAGGAGGAGGAGGCCGCCTCAAAAGACACACTATGAGAGATCCCCGAGCGAGGGTCTGCAAGCATCTTCGTCGAAATTAGGGGATTAATCTAATGGTTGGAGAGAGGAGGTTATGCAGGGTTGGATGGCTTCTCGAGTCCTTCTTAGGATGAAAGGGCCGAGAGAGGGGGGGGGAGGGGGGAGGGTAATTTTAGAGGGGGAAGGGGGAAAGGGGGGAGGGGGAGGGGTAATTTTAGAGGGGCAGTCCACTCTGAGGCAGTCATAAAGTACGGAGGAAGTGGGGTATAGTGTGCATCGTATAAGGGCGCGCAGTGCGGTTATGGGTGTAGGGTGTATGGCCATACGCGTACATATATACGTACATGTACATACACAAGCATGTATAGCTACACACACACACATGCACACACACACATACATACATAACTCCCTCACACAAACACATGCACAAACACACACACACACTAACACACACACACACACAATACCACACACTGACACACACACACACACACGCACACAACCCCCACACACTAACACATACACACACACACCCAACCCCCACACATTAACATATATACAAACACACACACACACACATACCCCCCTCCCACACACACACGCACTAACACACACACACAAGCAGACACACACACACACACTAACACATACACAAACACCCCTACCCCCACCCCATCTCGCCCACCCCAAAACCTCAAAACAAAATTAAATAAAAAAAAATGCAAATAAAAATGATTTAATTTAGGGATAACTAAATTAAAATTTCTTAACCACTCCACCAAAAAGAAAAAAAAAACAAACTAACCCCACATTATGGTTCTTTATTTATTTACTTTTCTCAAGGCCGTTTTCCCTTACACGTATATATATATATTTTTTGGGCCTGCCAGCCTCATTATAAGACTAATTATGAACTATGAACTCTTTAAGCTGTTTGGAATTAAAAAAGAAAGAAATACTTTATACTTCACTTTGCATAAATGAATTTCTACGTTTCTTCTTTTTAGCATTGTTGTTGTTGTTGGTATTATCATTCTCGTTATTAGCATCATCATTATCTTTATTACCATTACTGTTGTTATTATTATTGTTATTATTATTATTACTATCATTATTATTATCATTATTGATATTATCATTATTATAACTATTATCGTCATCATCATTATTATCATTCTTAACACCGCCACAGAGGGGTACAAGCCAGCACAACTCGGTGCCAGTCCCAAGCCTGGATTAAGGAGGAGGGTAGACGTCAGGAAGGGCATCCGGTCATAAAACACTGCGCCAACCTAATCATGATGCGGACACAGAGACAGATCCGCACCGGCAACAAGCCAGTAGAAGAAGAAGAATCATTATTATCATTGTTATTATTATTGTTATTATTATTATATATCATTTTTCTTATCATTGATTATTAATATTATTATTGTTATCATTATCGTTACTGTTATTATCATTATTGTTATCATTATAATTATCATCATCATCATCATTACCATTATCATTATCGTTATTATCATTATTATCATTATCATTATTACTATTAATCAGCATCATTCTCTTTCTCTCATTCTTTCTCTTTCTTTCGTTCTCTCTTTCTCATTTTTTCTCTTTCTTTCGTTCTCTCTCTCTCTCTCTCTCTCTCTCTCTCTCTCTCTCTCTCTCTCTCTCTCTCTCTCTCTCTCTCTCTCTCTCTCTCTCTCTCCCTCACTCCCTCCCTCTCTCATTCTCTCTAACCTCTCGTCTTTCTTCCCCGCCTCCCAAAGATATACCCAAGTATGCTTAAAAGTAAGTTCAAAGTATACCCAGCTATACCTCAGTATGCTCAAGTATTATGGGGTTTAGTGAGTATTTCAAAAGGCATACGTGGCGTGCTTTCATAAGGTGCTTTAATGAGAAAATTGCAACATCAAGGGAAGTAGCCTTCATGCAAATTGGCAAATTCACAAGCATGAGGGGAAGGGGGGGAGGGGAGAAGGAGAAAGAGAGGGGGGGGTGAAGGAAAAAGAGAGGGGGGGTGAGAGGGAGAAAGAGGGGGGGGGAGAAGGAGAAAGAGAGGGGGAGGTGAGAGGGAGAAAGAGGGGGGGAGGAGGGGTAAAGGAGAAAGAGGGGAGGGAGGTGAGAAGGAGAAAGAGGGGGGGAGGTGAGAAGGAGAAAGAGAGGGGAGGGGGAGAAGGAGAAAGAGAGGGGGGGGGTGAGAAGGAGAAAGAGGGGGGGAGGTGAGAAGGAGAAAGAGAGGGGGGGGGTGAGAAGGAGAAAGAGAGGGGGAGGTGAGAAGGAGAAAGAGGGGGGGGGGAGGGGTAAAGGAAAAAGAGAGGGGGGGGTGAGAGGGAGAAAGACGGGGGGGAGGTGAGAAGGAGAAAGAGAGGGGGAGGTGAGAAGGAGAAAGAGGGGGGGGGAGGGGTAAAGGAAAAAGAGAGGGGGAGGTGAGAGGGAGAAAGACGGGGGGGAGGTGAGAAGGAGAAAGAGGGGGGGAGGTGAGAAGGAGAAAGAGAGGGGGGGGTGAGAAGGAGAAAGAGAGGGGGAGGTGAGAAGGAGAAAGAGAGGGGGAGGTGAGAAGGAGAAAGAGGGGGGGGGAGGGGTAAAGGAAAAAGAGAGGGGGAGGTGAGAGGGAGAAAGACGGGGGGGAGGTGAGAAGGAGAAAGAGGGGGGGAGGTGAGAAGGAGAAAGAGAGGGGGGGTGAGAAGGAGAAAGAGAGGGGGAGGTGAGAAGGAGAAAGAGAGGGGGAGGTGAGAAGGAGAAAGAGGGGGGGGAGGGGTAAAGGAAAAAGAGAGGGGGGGGTGAGAGGGAGAAAGAGAAGGGGGGGGTGAGAAGGAGAAAGAGGGGGGGGAGGGGTAAAGGAAAAAGAGAGGGGGAGGGGAGAAGGAGAAAGAGGGGGGGGAGGGGTAAAGGAAAAAGAGAGGGGGAGGTGAGAGGGGAGAAAGAGGGGGGGAGGTGAGAAGGAGAAAGAGGGGGGAGGTGAGAAGGAGAAAGAGAGGGCATGAGGGGAGAAGGAGAAAGAGGGGGGGAGGTGAGAAGGAGAAGGGGGAAGGGGGTGTGAGGGGAGAAGGAGAAAGAGGGAGGGGGGGGAGTTGAGAAGGAGAGGGGGGGAAGGGTGTGAGGAGAAGTATGGGTGAAAATGAGAATGGGAGGGTTGTGAGGGGGAGGGAGAAGAGAGGGGTGAGGGGGAGGGGAGAAGGAGAGGGGGTGAAGAGTGAGGGGAGGAGAGGGGGTGAGGGGGAGGGGAGAAGGAGAGGGGTTGAGGGGAAGGGAGGAGAGGGGGTGAGGAGTGAGGGGAGAAGGGTGGGAGAAGGGGAGATGAAGAGAGGGGAACGGGTGTAAGGGAAAGAAGGGTAGAAGTAGGAAGGGGAAGAGAAAGGGAGGGGAAAAGGGTGAGGGAAGAAGGAGAGGGTGTAAGGTCTGTGGAGGGGAGAAGGAGGAAAGGAAGGGAGAGTGGGAGAGGAGAGGGAGAAGAGAAGGAAGGAGAGAGATGAAAGGAGAGGGAAGAGGAGTGTGAGAAGAGAGAGAGAAGGGAAACTATGAGATAAGGGGATGGAGAAAAGGGGAGAGAAAGGGAAGAGAACAAAAGGAAAAGGGGATGGACGAAAAAAGGAAAAGAAGAGGGAGTAAAGGGGGACATGAAGATAAGATAAGATAAGATAAGATAAGGGAACTTTACAGAAGAGAGAAAAAAAGCGAGAGAAAGAAAGAAAGCAAGGAGAGATAAAAGAAGTAAAACGGGGGAGGGGGAGGAGAGGGAATTGAGGGAAAAAACAAGAGAAGGGAAGAAGGAAGGAGAAAGAGAGAAAGAGAGACTGGTAAAGGGATGGTATTGGTGATGAAAAGACTAGAATGTGATATTGCTCAAAAATGTCATTAGATCATAACTTTTTTTCGAAATATATTATTTACAGGTAGATCTTATTGCATATAAATAAATTAAAATCCTCAATTTTTGGTCGCGTACCTTCCCCCCCCCTCAAAAAAAAAAAAAAAAAAAATCCCCCCAGAAATAAAACGTAAACAGTAACTGAACTAATACTTTCACCCTTGTCTTTATTACATGTTTATCATCTTTATTTATCACCCCCCCCACTCTAGAAAAAAAAAAACATAATAAAAAA